TGAGTAGCATTTGACACTTAACTATTTCATTCCTCTTACATTTTCTTCCCTTGGTTTCTGTGTCACTGCACTCTCATCGTTTTCCTCCTGCCTCTCTGTGGGTGTCTCCTCTGTCGTCTTTGCAGGCTTATCCTCCTCTGTCTGACCACAGACTCTTGGAGTTCCATAAGACTCCATTCTTAGAACAACATGGATGAGTACTTGATAGTCTAATTCTCTCATAGTTGGTGTCCTTGAGAACATGGGAAAAATGATACATAGATGCAAGATAGAAAAAATTAGATAAAAACCCTGTAGTCCTGAATCTGAATGGGAAATATCAGTATGAACTCAGGATGTATTTCTTTTTAAATTGTTTTTCACCTAACTCTTTCTACTTAAATGGCCTAGAAACAATGACTAACTCACAGTGAGTGCCCAGACTGTGGTTTGGAAAAACATTCCTCACTCATAAAAAAACCACATCTCCTTGGAGAAATGGCTGATTCCAGGTCTGACACAGGAAATGTGCAAGAAGAAGTGGAACATCTTGTCATAACAGAAAGCAAGAAGCCATTAAAGACTACTACAATTGAATCCAAAGCCCTCGGGAACAGTTATAATTGGTTTTCATTTGCCAAAGATGGTACAGTTTGAACACTGATATGGATAATAATTGCAGTGTATCAAAGCACATCAAATGTGTTTGACTCATGAGTTCATTAATGATGCTAAAGTAAAAAAGACTTAATTGATTGCTTTTAACTAACTTATTGTTTTGAAAACTGGCAAATAAAGGAAAAGAGTCAAGCATTTATTCCTGTCTCTCATGCAAGAATTGTATCACAGGCTAAGGGAATAGTAGATGAGAGAAAGTGCTCTTTGGAGAGGTATTTCAGCTTTTAAATAAAGAAGGAATGATAGGATATTACCTTTTGGCAACCCCTAATGAGTTAATGGATCTAGGCATTAATTGTCAGTATCTTAGTTTTTTAGTGCTGCAATAACAGAAATACCATAAGTGGGTGGCTTTAAAGAACAAATTTATTTTCTTACAAGTTTAGAAGGCTAGAGGCCTGAATTCAGGGCACTGGCTCCAGGGGAAGTCTGGAAGTCTCTCTCTCTGTCAGTTCTCAGAGAAGGTCCTTGTCTCTCTTCAGCTTCTGTTCCTTCATTCCTTGGTGAGGTCCATGTGTGTGGCATCTGTCTTCCCCCATCTGTGCTTCCTTGCTTGCTTGCTTGATCTGCTGTTTTATATCTCAAAAGTGATTGTCTTAAGACACAGCCTCATTAACATAACAAAGAAAACCCTAGTCCCAAAAAACATCCACAGGTATAAAACAAAACAAAACAAAACCCTTTGCTATTGAGTCAATTCCCTATAGGACCCTCTAGGACAGAGTAGAACTGCCACATAGGGTTTTTAAGGAGCAGCTAGTGGTTTCAAACTGCAGACTTTTTGGTTGGCAGCCCAGCTCTTAACCACTGTGCTACAAGGGCTTCTCCACAGGTACAGGGGTTAGGATTTACAACACATTTTGCAGGGACACAGTTCAGTCCATACCAATCAGTTTCTACTGACTGTACAAAAAGAGAAACAACCATTTTCTTGTTGATGGAAGTACATGGTACTATTTATGAAGTGATCTTGCCAAAAACTTTGATCCTTAATATGATCAAGGATCTAGTTTCAACTGCCAGTTTACAGAAAACATAGAGGAACATGTTAAATAACACTACAGGGATGCAATCAATAATAACTCTACAGGGATGCAATCAATAAAATCTACAGAACACATTATCTAGTTTCTTCAACAAATAAATCACGTGGGTAAAAGAGATGGGTAATTTTATAGATGAAAAGACTTCCCCATTGTTAGCTAAATACCTATCTTTTTATCCTATAGTCATTCATAACACTTCATGTTTATAGATGTTTCTGTCCCATTAGACAGTTTCTTAAGACCAGGGAATGACTTCTTAATCTTCCTTTATTTCCCTGGTGCCCAACACAGTGCCTGACGTTTGGTGAGAAATCAGTAAATATTTCCTATACAGATTTTATTTGATGACTTCAGTGGTGGTGTAGGATAAAAACATCACAAAGTCTAGTAAAGCGAAAAGAAAGTTTCATTTGGCATACATTCAAAAGGGCAGAAGTGGGAAACAGACAACCATGCTGCCAGAGCCATGTCTGCCCAAGTCCAAGGAAATATCACAGAACAGACAAAAGTGGGAAAACAGACAAGCATGTTGCCAGAGCCATGTCTGCCCAAGTCCAAAGAATATTACAGAATAGGCAAGAATGGGAAAATGGACAAGCATGCTGCCACAGCCATGTCTGCCAGAGTCCAAAGAACAGAGTCCAAAGAACACAGTCCAAAGTTACAGAGCCATCAGTATATATTAACATTACAAATGGGCAAAACCATTGAAAGTTTAGCCTTTTCAGATTAGCTAGAAACTGTGATCTTACATTTTGAATTGTCCTTCTTAACAATCATTGGTACAGGTTTCAGTAAAGAGTCAGGAGGGTCTTCATTGGTCCAACAAATTTCTATTCACTAAATGCTAATAGAAAAAGATAAGAATGGAAAGTCTTTTGTGTTCTGTTTGATTGGATTTATGTGAAAGTTTCCCTAGAAGATATTTTCCAAGATTATCTTAGCTATTGTCTTTATACCTCAGGGCCCAGTTGATGTGTCCTTGTGAGTCCTTGTGAGCCCAGCTCCATCTGGGTCACATTCTCTATGCTCAAGGAGAGGGAATAATAACTCCAATATTATTTCCTAAATCATTGGTTAGTCAGTCATAGTCATCTTTTGATCTTTAGTTCTTTTGATTAGTAAACTGACAAATCAGAATATTCCCATATTTGCCTTCTGCACTGTTGTCTATTTTGAGTGCAGCTGACTCTTTTCAATTTCTTTGAGTATTTCTTGATTGCATGCTTATTTGTCAAAGACGACATCACCCTCCCACCATGGAAACTACTTCATTGTTTTTGTTGATTGTAAAGATCATAGGTCGTCACTGGAAAAAAAAAAAATTCAAACAAAATAGGAAAGTATAAGAAAGTAAAAGCCATCACAACCCAGAGATAACCACTGTTAGTATTTCAGAAATATCCTTTTAGATTTCATTCTCATTTTTTCTCTCTCCATATATACACAGTTTTCCATAAATAAGATATTGCTGCTATACATGCTACTCTGGAACTCTTTTTTTTTTTTAATCCAACATACTGTGTATCTTTTTCCACGTCAATGAATACTGCTGCACATTGTCATTTTGGGCACTCCATAATATTTCTTATTAAAAGAAAAAACCCGTTGCTGTCGAGTTGATTCTGACTCATAGTGACCCTATAGGTCAGAACTGCCCCATAGGATTTCCAAGGAGTGAGCTGGTAGGTTCGAATTGCCTGACCTTTTGGTTAGCAGCCTGAGCTCTTAACCACTGTTACAGAATCCAAACCAAACCCCTTGCCCTCGAGTCGATTCCGACTCATAGGAACCCTATAGGGCAGAGTAGAGAACTGCCCCATGGGGTTTCCAAGGAGCAGATGGTGGATTTGAACTGCCGACCTTTCGGTTAGCAGCCGAGCTCTTAACCCCTATGCCAGCAGGGCTCCTTCTTAATTAAATGTATCTTAATTTACTTAATTGATCCGGTACTGATGAACATTGTTCCTTTATAATTCTCTGTTATCAAAAATATTATAGTGAATTTCTTTGAACACATACATTTGTACACGTGTGCAGTTCTCTCCTTATGCTAGAAGTGGGTTTTGTTGGGCCAAAGGGTGTGTTCATTTAAAATTTCTATTTTGCCCTACTACCCTTCTGAAGATTTAAACCTGTTTTCCAGCAGTTGATTAGCCGGATTTTATTATGCTTGAAGGGGCCTTCGTGTGCAGTGGTTTAAGAGCTTGGCTGCTAACCAAAAGGTCGGCAGTTCAAATCCACCACCCGCTCCTTGGAAACCCCATGGGGCAGTTCTGCGCTGTACTGCAGGGTCCTTATGAGTTGGAATTGACTCGAGGGTAATGGGTTTGTTTATTTTTTCTGGTTTGTATTATGCTTGAAGGCTTGTTCATTAGCTCTCAGCGCTAGTCTTCAGGTAAGGTAACTCATATACTTTTTTTAGCCCTTTCTTTTGGTGTCTTTTTTCCTGAATTATTTCTCTTTTCTTTGTTGGCAGCAGGAGCTACTGTAGTTTGTGTAAGATCTGATGTTCCCAACTGGACATGAAGCCAAATAAATGCAGAATGTAATGTGATTGCCTTATAGTAACTACCTAAAACTATTATATTTACCATATTGTCATAATTTTCTTTGAGCAATAATGTGGAATATTACACCTCTTAAATGCTTGATCACATTTATTCAAAAAAGCTATATTTATAAATGCCATTCCATTTATATCTGCTTGGAGGAATTAAGATAATATTAGAACTATCTTTTAACTTGTTGATAATATTTGAGTCCATACTCATTTATTTTTTAGAAGCCTTTTGCAGAGGAAAGAGTATGATTTTCAAAGTCTGCTGAGATTTCAGCTCTGCCACTTACTTAAAGTATTTTTATGCAAATAACGTGCACCTTCTATGGTGTTTGCCTACCGTTCCTCCTCCTGCAAGGTATTTTTGTCAGTGCTGTATGCTGATTTTTTTACAGCAATATGCAAAAAATAATTGGCATAGCAGTACTTGTGAAAATACCTCACGGGGGAGGGAGCAGTTGGCAAACAAATGTGGAAAGTGTGTGTTATTTGCATAAAAATAAGATAGTTGTGTATGAAAATCACTTAACTTGTCTGGGCCTTAATTCATCTGCAAAATTGGATTATGTTTGAATGATGGCTCTAAGGATACAATAAAATGTTGTATATGAAAATACCTAGCATGATAGCTAGCAAATACTAATAATTCAATATTTGTCTTCTATTTATTTAGTGATATTTAGTGATATGTAGTGTTTTTATATATGTATTCATCATTTATACTGTTGTCTTCACAGAAATCTTCTCTACATATACCCTCAGAGTCTCAATTTTGCCAATCGTCAGGGTTCTGCCAGAAATATAACCGTGAAAGTCCAGTTTATGTACGGGGAGGATTCAAGCAATGCCATGCCCGTAAGAAATGTTCTTTACTTTTCCTGTTCCTCATATATGGTTCAGATAGGCTTTTTGTTCTTGTTGTTGTTATCTTTTGGTTGGAAGCTCCAGACTGGAAAATAATATGATCTTTTAATCCAAAGTTCTTTCTTTATAGATAATTGAGTGTATTTAAAGTCTTATTTACTTTTTGAGGACTTGGTATAATGCCTTCCCAAAGATATAAAGATGAATGAAACTTGTAATTTAGGGGCTATAAAACAAACACATATAATTGTAAAATAGTAGCTTTCAGAAGAGAGGTCAGAATCATGTAGGGAACTTTATTGAAGTACAGATACCTACTGTCTACTCTTGGCATCTGTGGTTCTGATTCTTCTCACTCTCCTTTAGAATGAAAGGCCAGGTAAGGAAGGTGGGAGGTGATGGGTGGTATATGAGGCTGTATTATAGTTTGAAAATGTTCCCTAGTGATTTTAATATGTATGACTCTTCCCACGTTGATTGAGAAGCTGTGGCAGTAGTTCTCAACCTTGGCCGCAAGTTAGACTCACCTGGGGGGCTTTTAAAAATAATGATGCCCAGGCTGAATCCCACTTCAATTAAATCATAATTTCTGGGACTGGGAACCAGGCATCAGTATTTTTAAATTTCCCCAAAGGAGTATATTATGCAGCCCATGCTGAGAACCAACATATGTGCTAATTATTAGAAGACTGGTATAGAGATTCAAAGGCATATATGTTCAGAGGTTAGAGAGTATGCCTTGCGGAGGTAACAGGCAAGTATTTTGTGGGGGAGGTATATCTGGGCTGAAACTTGAAGGGTAGTTATAATGTCAGTGTCAGTGGGTCGGGATGGTAGGGGAAGGAAAGCATTTCAAGTGGGAGAAAGTCCATGAACAGATGTATAGTGGTGAGTTGCGAGTGACCCAGAGCAATGGAAGATAAGTGGGAAATAATAGACTGGGGCCAGCTGGGGAGACTCTTGACTGCCCACATTATCACTTATAATTTGTTGGACACTAATAAACTTAAGTTTTATGAAAGCAGATTTTTGGCTCAACTAAAGTTAGTAACATGTGTACAGTTCTTTCCTTAGGCTAGAAGTGGGTTTGTTGCATCCATAAGAGCACACCATTTTTGTAGATGTTCAACCTCTGAGAACTTTAGTGGAACGCAAATAAGCGAAGAAGTAGGTGCATCGTTAGCAGTCTTATTTTATCCTTCCATGTGAGTGATTTGTATTAAGTGCTTCTGACTTTTCACTTACTAGGAGAAATAGATTTTTTAAAATTCCCTATTGCCTCAGTTTCATCAGCATTTGTAGATGTCCATGACAGCAGTGGGCACAAATTATTCATCTTTGTATTCTCCTTGGCAGCTATTTCGGATCACTGCAATATAATACATGCTGAATAAATATTTGTTGAATAAATGTAGAATTTATTTTTGCAGTTTGGAATTGGCATTTTGTATCTTTAATAGCTTTTCATTTCTGCTAAGGGAATGAGTGTACTAAAATAGTTGCTGAAAAATACTAGATTGTGAAGATAGATGTTTTGTCAACTTATATGTGAATTGCTATATGAATTTTAGCTTATGACAAATGTAGTGTATGTAAAATAATCTTTTTATTGTTTGCCTATTGAACTTTTACCAGTGCTTACTTTAGTTTATATATTGCCTCCTTTACAGAGCCCAGCTGCACCCGCCCCACATGTCAGTTAGACCAGTCTCTCTTTGATGCTACTACAGCCTCTTCTCACTTGTTTCATGGGCCTTATCACTTTGTGATTTATATGGTTATTTCTTCATCTCACCCACTAGATTGTGGGCTCCTGGAGGACAGGGACCATGTCTTATTCATGTCTCTATCTCGGCACCTATCATAGTGCCTGGTACATAATTGAAGCTCAGTCCATGTGGTTGAATAATTAAAAATACATGTCAAATAGTTAATAAAGGAACACTGCCCACTTTATATCATTCATGTTACATAAGTATAAGTAAATGACTTGTTCGGTAAAAAATGATATCTTCCTAGAGGGGGATGAAAAAGGTACTGTGTTTCTTTCAGTTGTGTATTACTAGTTGTATGAAAATATGATGCTTTTATGCTTATGTAAATGGCTGGTTTGAAAGAGTGTATAAACATAAATATATTGTGTGTGTGCTTATTTTTTTTACAATAAGGACTATTCATATGAGTCCTAAGATAATTTTTTGGTCAGATAATGTGAGTATGATAAAATTATAAACCTTATAATCCTGGCACTGGAGAAGAATTTTATAAGAACATAGTAAGGTATTTTTAGCAAAATGATGAAATTAGATGTAGCTGGGAAAGTCATAATTATTTCCACTTTCGCATACCCTTAAAATAAGATCCTGCTTGAAATGTTGCACAAAGAAGCATAAAGACCTGTTAGTATGTTCTTTCTGTTTAAGGATGTTGCCAGTTACTCCCTTTATATAAAGGTTAAACTTTGAGTTGTTTTACCAGATATGTTGATGGAAGTGTGATGACAGATCCATATACCTATTCATGCATATGTAGAGATGGCTGGTCAAACTTAAGAGTGCATCCGATGGCTAGAAAACGTTGCAAGCCTAACTGGCTCACATAGGAATCAGCTGTGACCTTGGCATCATTAAGCTATTTATCTAATCAGCAGCCCTAATTAACCACAGTATTCCTGTTAGAGTTTAAGACGCAGAGATACAAGGTTGAATTATTTTACCTTTAAGCTTAGACTTTCTCCAAAAGTAGGATTGTATTTTTTCACTGTGGTGGATTTTTTTTTTTTTTTAAACAGAGTAGAATAAAGTGTATTGCACCTCTTCTATTGCAGAGTAGCCACAGGGAGTGTTAGATGCAAAGGACATGTAACTTGACCTAAAATAGAATTTTTTAAATATCATTTATAAGTAATTTATATATGACTTTCAGAATGACTGCTGTTTTAGTGGAGAAGCCACCAATTTATATAGTAGATTTTTGCCACTATTTTAGGATCATACTTGTATAAATTCCACATTGTATGTTATATCCAGATTTAAAAATGAATTCTTCACCTTCTTTAAGAAAAAGGAAAAGGAAGGAAATGTTCCTTGTTGCCTAGTAGATATAAATATAATTGAAAAAAAATTTGAATGTTTGAATGTCAGATGGGTCTATCGAAAAATTTGCAGTTTAAACAGTTGAACTTATTAATGAATGTCAGTAAGGCACATTGATCTATGTGTTCTTCATTGGGTTGATTTTTGCCCATTGTTCTCAGTTATAACTGGACAAATTCTTACATAAATATGAAACATCCAGCATTTATAACAAAGTTTCAACATGCTGTTATTTGTTACAGGTAATCTTTGGTAAATCTAGCTGTTCAGAATTTTCAAAGGAAGCCTATACAGCCGTAGTATATCATAACAGGTACTGAATTCAAATATTTCTTTCAAAGTTACTCACTTCTCAGTGGCATTGTTAGCACTCACGTTAGTGTGTTTACCAAATGCTTTGCTGCACTGAATGTGCTAAATTCAAGACAGCTGACATCACAGTTACAATTTTCAACCTGTAGATGCACAGTCATTCTCTGTGGACATCTTAAATATATGACTTTGTACACAAAACATCTTTTCTATCTAATTCTCTGATTCTTTCATTTTTATTGTATTGTTATTGATTATCATTGTGGCCTCTGATTCTTCGGTCTTTCCCTTTTATCCTTGAACCCATTAGTCACTTAAATTGATAGTATTCTCAACAGCCAATAATCCTTTGACTTAGTGACTTTACATTTGGACAGTTGCTAATTTTGAATAACTTTTAATTTCTGCTTTTTTTGATTATTGAATGCTGTTGAAGAAAATCACAAAATTTTATCAGTCAGGATCATCACAAATTGATGTTATTTTATTGTATGATGTGGTTACAGTAATTTATTTCCTTTTGGTCCCACCACACTTGGCAAACCTTATTGTTCTCATTTTTTTTTTTTTTACCGTCTCTGTCTCATTCAGCACTACTATTTTAAACCTTTCTCCCCCTCCCTCAAGCTCCTTCCTCTTTTCTATTTGCTTTATTCTCAGCATTCTTGCTTTATTAGGTTGATTGAGACCATCCAACGTGAGATCCAGCAACTTCTCTACTCTTCTAAAATTATCCGGTACTGACCTGCCGTTTCTTATGTTTCAAAGGTAGTAATAGCCCACTTCCTTTTTACCTCTGCTTTCAAACCATCTCATTCAGCCTCTTCCAGAATGTGACTTAATCAATTATCTCTTCTCGTGCAATCATGTCTTTCCCCTACTTAAAAAAAACAGTCTTTCTTCAATGCTGTTGTATAGCATTTTCCTTGCCCTCTTTAAAACTTCATTCTTTCTTATCTTTGTTTTATGGTCTTATCTCAGTTTCCTTCTGCCTTTTTGAGCACTCCTTTTCTGTAGTAATTTTTTTTTCTTTTAAATGACAGCATTCCACAAGGTTTTGCCCTTTATCCTTTTCCTATATATTCTCTCCCTAAATAATCTTACCTGCTTCTACTTTAACTTTTATCTTTATATGGATTGTTCTCAATTCTTTATTTCCATTTAAAACGTTCCTTTTGAGGTACAGACAATGTAGTTTCAGTAGCCTTCTGCATGTAGTCATTTGGGTGACCTGCTGCTCCCACATATCTTTCCCTGACCCTCTTCCCTACCCTCTTCTCTGCCTGACTTCTTTATCTTTGTTAATAGTACTACCATTTTCCTAATTACTTTGGCTCAATATTTAAGGCATCCTTTCCTTCCTTCTTCTTTTGTCTGATATCCACTTAGCTGTTAAGTCTTGATGATTCTGTTTCTGCACCGTTACCAAACAAATCTTGTACTGTCCTGTTGCTGGGCCTTTCTTGGATCTTTTTTTTTTTTTTTTAAATGATAATATCCTTTCCTTCTGTTTATTAAACTCCTACTTATTCTTTAAGGCCCGTATCATATATCAGTGACAATTCCCTGATCTCAAACTTTAATAATCTGTTCAGCCTTGTTCTTGAAGCACTATATGCGCTATACCAGGGGTTGGCAAACTTTTAAAGGGCCAGATAGTATATATTTTAGGCTTTGTGGACCATACAGTCATTGTTGCAACTATTCAACTCTGCCCTCTTTCATTGTAGAGCAAAAGCAGCCATAGAAAATAAGTAATATAAATGCATGGGTATTGCTGTGTTCCAATAAAAGTTTATTTATGGACAGTGAAATTTGAATTTTATATAATTTTCACAGGTTATGAAATACTTTTGATTTTTTTTCACCCATTTAAAACCGTAAAAACCATTCTTAGCTTGCAAGCTGTACAAAAACAGGTGGTGGGCTGGATCTGACCCATGAACTAGTTTGCCAATCCCTGCTTTATAGCATAGCTATATATATACATATACACACACACACATATACATACACATATATGTATACATATATATAAAATCTTTATACTAAATTATAAGCTTTTTGAGAGTAATTTTTTATATATATTCCTCTTTAGAACCACCACAAAAATTGCAAAATGTTTAGTCTAAAGTTTGTCAGTTAAAAACATTTGTTGAATTAATAACTCTCATAGATGTTTAATTTTCCACAAAATCATTCACATAATATGATTTCTGGACAGAAATGAACTAAAACACTTGATACCAGGAAAAATATTTATAAAGTTTGGTAATTCCTAAAACTTTATCAATTTGTAGCTAGGTCTTTATTTTTTTGCTCTTAGCATTAGTGGAATTAACATGACAGTACCATCTGACATTGCTGGTAAATTCAGTTTCCTCATAATTTAGCGGTGATTAGTGAGATTAGTAATAAGAGGCATAGGATCTTTTCATTCACTAAAGTCATCAGATTCTCAGATGACTAGCATTAGTTATCTTTCTTGTTGCTATTAAAAGCCCACTTATATCTCTGAGATCAAATCTACAACTGTTAGCCTTTTTGAAGCTTATTTGAGATGAATGAATATTTTACTTGGAAAGATATTTGACTTGTTAGCATCGAAAAAAACTCCTAACTGATGGCACAGCCTTTATTTGGAGGATAGATAATTGGAGCCATATGGTTTGGATGCATTTTCATGGAATGTAACTCTGAGAGGTGCTAACTGAATATGGAAGGTTGGGACACTAAGGGTCTATCCCTTTTAAGTCTGTATCATAAATGTAACCATGCTTTCCTATAACAATGCTCTTAGGGGCCACTCTCAATGGCTATTGGAATGAAAGTACCGTTGGTTTTATTTTGTACAGTGACTGAGAGCACTCTAAACTGTGGGAGAAGTGCAATTTGTGGTTACCCCCTACACCTGTCCTCCCCCTATTTTATGCATTCAGTCAATACACTAGTTCATGTTTTGGTAATATTTTTTATTCCTTTAACAATTAAATAGTAATTCATATAAGACATTCCATAGAGAGCCCAATGTGATATTGTTATTTAAAGATACTGTTTTTTTCTTTTTTACAAAAAGAGGATACAAATTAGTCTTATGAAGCTGTTCTATAAAAGAAAAACATATTTTTGTTTTTTTTAAAAAGTGGTTTTAAAACACTTTAAAAACTCATTTTTTTTCCTTTGTAATGTGTATCAGAATTGGCTCTTAAATGTAGAAAACCCTCCCCTAGTCTCCTCTTCTTTACAGTTTCTAATCTAAGGAAGAGCTCAGCATCATCATGCTGATTATGAATGAATTTTCAGATAGTAGAATTACTCAATCCATTATGAAAACTGGATGAGGAATTTCAGAAACAGTGACCATTCCCTCATCTGGAAATAGGATGTAGTTATTTAGAGATTGGAATAAAGAAAAATATTTTGGACTAGAGGAAAAATTAAGCATGAATACTCAAATTAATTTAAAAATTACTCGGATACACAAATTCAATAATTATTAGTTTTGAACAAACTACTGACTCTTTATTGATCTCTTTTTTGTTGTTGTTGTTTGTTTTTTTGTATGAAGGTCTCCTGATTTTCATGAAGAAATTAAGGTTAAACTGCCTGCTACTTTAACCGACCATCATCATTTACTTTTTACTTTCTATCATGTTAGTTGTCAACAAAAACAAAATACCCCACTTGAAACTCCAGTTGGATATACAGTAAGTCTGTTTAATTGAATATTTAGCTCTTTGATCTTAAAAATAGCTTTAAATTTATATAAAAATAATTATGATATTTAAGATATGGTTGACGTTTATTATTATTTGAGTATTTCTCATCTGATTCCCCACAGCTATAAAGTTGTGTTAGTTAGGAAGAGTCATCATAATAACAAAATACTCATTAATATAATTAAATAATCAATTTATTAACTAATACGTTTAACACTGATGGCGTAGTGGTTAAGACCTCGGTTGCTTAACCAAAAGGTCCCCAATTCAAATCCACCAGCTGCTCCTTGGAAACCCTATGGGGCAGTTCTGCTCTGTCCTGTAGGCTCACTATGAGTTGGAACCAACTTGATGGCACATAACAACAACAATGTTTAACACTTGGGTATTCATCCTGATTACTGAGTGTTTATCCAATAGTATAGATCCCTAGGTGGCATAAGCAGTTTGTGCTTAACCTAAAGGGTGGCAGTTTGAACCGCCCTGGCAACACCATGGAAAAAAGGCTTGGCTGTCTGCTTCTGTTGAGAATACAGCCAAGAAAACCTTATGGAGCAATTCTACTCTGTACCCCTTGTGGTCTCCATGAGTCATAATCAACTCAGTGGCAATAGCCTTTTTTTTTGCTATCCAATAGTATTGTGTAGATGTAATACAAATTACATAAAAAACAACAGATTTAAGGGTTTTTCAGAAGAGAATGGTTTGAATATAAAATGATTAAAAGCGACCCTTGGAAAAGAAATTAAAACCCTTAAGTATTTTTATGAGAATCGTCCTCATGATGATTGGATTGCAAAGGTAAATCTAAGGTGAGGGATACCATAATGTGCTATCACACAATTTTGTCAGCAAAATCAAGCCTCTACCAAAAAGAGAAAACATTTAATTGGTTTTTTTATTGTTGTTTTTGCAGTTTGTGACATGAGTTTTACTAACTGTAAATTTATGTTCATAGTTTTTAGTTTTGTTGACGAAATTCATTTCCAGTCAGATATTTCTTTCACTGTTTACTTTGTTAGTCTTTTTTTTTTTGTTGTTATTGTTTTTGATTTTATTTCTTTTGTTGATTTGTGACTTAGGAGACCCCATGTGTTACAGGGTAGAACTGCTCCTTGGGTTTTCTTGGCTGTAATCTTTACAGAAGCAGGCCACTGGGTGGGTTCGAACTGCCAACCTTTTGGTTACCAGCTGAGTGCAAACTGTTTGTGCCAGCCAAGGACCTTTCACTGTTTACTTTGAAAGTATTATTCCAATATTAAGCGGATTCACTTTGTGACCTTTTTCTAGTACCAACTTTCCCTTGCATAATAAGGACCTCCTATAGATTTTACATGGCTAGTAATCATAATGTTTTGAGGATCTTCTTTAATAAAATATGATCCTTGGGGAAACTTTTCTTTAGAGGAATTATGAAGGCCTGTTATTATTTGTTGTATAATAAAATCCCCTTCCTGTTTCATGATTTAAGACAAATTTGGCTCATATTAAGTTTGTAAAGAGCCCCATTGGCGCAGTGGTTAAGAGCTACAGCTGCTAACGAAATGGCTGTCAGTTCGAATCCACCAAGCTGTAGGACAGTTCTACTCTGTCCTACAGGGTTGCTATGAGTTGGAATCGACTCAATGGCAATGGGTTTGGTTTTTTTTTTTAAGTTCTTAAAACAGGTTTTCTAAGTAATTGCTTTACAGTAAATATTTAAATTAATGTTGCTGCCTTTTTATTTAAAAGTGGATACCAATGCTTCAGAATGGACGATTGAAGACTGGTCAGTTTTGCCTACCAGTCTCACTGGAAAAACCACCACAGGCATATTCTGTACTGTCTCCTGAGGTCAGTATCTCTCAGGTTAAAAATTTCCAGATTGCATGAAATGGATTTTTCATTAAAAACATGTTTTTGCTGAACAAGACTTTGCTATTTCTTCTATCTGCATGTATATAACAAAGTAATAATATTATTTCCCCTGAAAAATAATGTAAGCTTATCCATATAAAACTTAGTAGTTTTTATCCTTTTTTTTCTTTTGAATATAAATGTATTCACTTTAAAACCAAAAATAATACATGAAATGTAAACTCAAAGAAAAAATAAATTTGGAGAATTTTCATATTGTGATATGAGAAGTTTTTTAAATAAATAAATATTACTTTCTTTTAGTAGACTGTTAACATTTCTCTAAAAGACTAGAGGGAAGAGAACAGATTTAAATTACATTGTTAGAGTCTTTTTATAATTAAAGATCATGTAAAGCAAAGTAAAATAGCTCTAAAAAATGCAATGGAAGGCTGTTGCTCATATCTCACTTCTCAGCATTCTCTGTCACTCACTTTTCCCTAGCCATACAACCTTTGCTTTTCCTCAGACATGATAAGCACGCTCCCATCTCAGACTCTTTGCAATTCTCTCTGCAGAAAATGCTGTCACAAGGCCTTCTCCTTCATTTCGTTCAGATAGCCACTTAAATATCACCTCTCCAGAGAAGCTGTCATCTCTTATTACTCTGTCTTAGCAGCCTCCATCATTTTTATCCCTTTACTCTGCTTTATTTTTCCTCATAGCATTTATTACTGACTTTATACTTCATATTTCTTTGTTAATCCATTTATTGTCTGTAGAGTATGAGCTCCATGTGGGTAAGGACTTTTTCTTCTTCATTGCTGTATCTACAATTCTCTAGATCAATGCTTGGCACATAGTTGGCATTCAGTAAATATTTATTAAATGAATGAATAAAGACAATAGGAAAGAAATATGACTTCTCTCCCCCCAAAAATCTTTTATTCAGTTTCCCAGGAACACATCTTTTCACTAAAATAAGGTGGGCTCTTGTCAGGTACGGTATTATGTTTCTAAAGGAAATGTTTTAAAAGAAAATATGTTTTTATGGAAATTATGCACTTGTTTTCACTTAATTGATTCACAGATGCAAGGTCACTTTCTATCGGGAGGCTAATGATTTTTTAAATACTATGATGTGTGTGCTCAAGTATAAAGAATATGGTAATAATTTGGATTTGATTATTGACCCAGTATAGTGTGACTGATGGAAATGTGAGATAAGCCCCATAATTAAATGCTTAAACTTTTGTATATTTTAATTATTAGAAGAGTAGTATACATTTTTAGTTTTATTATTAAAAGACTAGAATATATTCTTTAGTTTCACTGCTTAAATTCAAACAAGTGAGATAATTATTTAAACATTCAACTTTCATCACCAAAAATAAAATTAAAGAAACTTTTAACTTTTTTGGGTCATTGCTTAATGTAATTTTGCGTTCACTTTCCTGGCTGAGGTTGGATTCTCTTTGATTCTTTTTTAAGAATCAGAGACCTGATATGTGTTAACTTCAACAGTTCTTTAGGCCTTAGAATGTGAGTCTTGTTATTAAGTGTGCTTAATCAAGAGTTTTTAGTTCTGATAAGTCAAGTTTATCTATTTGTCTTTTATTGCTTGTGCTTTTGGTATCATATCTAAGAATCTATTGCCAAATCCAAGGTCATGAAGATTTAGTCTTATGTTTTGTTCTAAGAGTTTTATAATTTTAGCTCTTACATTTAGTTCTTTGATCCATTTTCAGTTAATTTTTGTATATGATGTGAGGTAAGCATCCAGCTGCATTCTTTTGCATGTTATGCCACTACCATTTGTTGAAAGGCTATTCTTTTCCTACTGCACGGTCTTGGCACCCTTGTTAAAAATCAATTGACCATAGGTGTATAGGTTTATTTCTGAACTCTCAATTTTCATTAATCTGTATGTCTTTTCTTGTGTCATTATCACACTGACTTGATTATCATTGCCGTATTACAAGTTTTGAAATCGGCAAGTGTGAGTCCTCCTGCTTTGCTGTCATTTTTCAGGATTGTTTTGACTGTTCTGGGTCCTTTGCAATTCCATATGAATTTTAGAATTAGTTTGTCAATTTCTATAAAGAAGTCAGTTGAGATGCTGATAGGGATTTCATTGAATCTGGGACTCATTCTTGTTGAATACTGTTGGAACATTTTGGTGATATTACTCTGATGAATTCACCTCAGTTCAGAGTCTTCAGCTTTTCAGGATCAGTGTTTACTGGCCTTCAGGAAACAGATTTATGTTTACCAAATTCATAAAAGATTAAAGTATAAACTAGCATGGCAGTCTGTCACCAGAGTTTTCTTCCTATAGAATTATGGTACTCAACCTGAGGTGCTCAACATAATCACATGGAAAGAACAGTTTTATTTGGTTGGTTTTGCCTGAAATTTGTCACAATGAAAGTATACATACTCTAACCTACAAATTGTACTTTTAGGAATTACCCTGTAGATATATTTGCATACTATGCAAAGATAATCATATAGTATGTTTTTAAATTTAACAGTGGTTATATTTACAGATGGATAGTTATTCTTTTAAATTTATTATTTTAATAATGTAATAAACACTCATGAATCCACCACCCAATCCAAGAGCTAGACACAGAAACAATAACTTATATTACTTATATGCTATTCCCCTATTCCATATTCTTCTTTCCAGCCTTTTAAAACTACCTTAAAAATAAGGTATATGTGTACTCGAAGATTACATTGTTTACTTTGCTTGTTTTATAAATTTAATGAGAAGGGTTATGCTGCATGTAATTCTCTAGGACTTATTTTTTTCATTTAGTATTATATTACCAAGATTTAATGTTTCTGGTATATGTAGTTGCATTTAATTAATTTTCACTGCTTTATAATATTCGGTTCTTGCCCATTTGTAATCCATTCTTTACAAAATAAATAAAGGAATTAAAAAATGTAAATTAGATGGTACCATTCCCTCTGCCGTTTATTGCACTTAATAATTCCTATTTTTTTCCCATGACCAACAAATCTCTGAATGATGTCGACTCTTCTGCCCCTCCATTATCACTGTACCCCCTTATCTCCACACTTACAGCATCTTCTAAGCCTTTGCCTGCCTCCAGGCCTTTGAAGTTTCTCTTTCTTCTTCCTGTTCTTTATGCCTAGATCCTTTTCATTATCAGAATTGTTGATAATATAGCACTTCCTCAAAGAGGTCTTTCCTCACTCCATGAATTTTCATCTAGTCTCTCCTCCATACAGCTGATACACTCTATTATTTTTTAGTCAATTTTATTTTCTTAGTACTTATCACTATCTGGAATTATTCATTTACTTACTTTTCTCTCTCTTTCACAAGAGATTAAGCTCCTAGAGAACAGACCTTATGTTTATTGTTTGCCATGTAACCCCAGTACTTATGTAGGAACTTCAGTAAATATTTGTTAAATAACAAGTCTAAAAAATTATAGGATTATTGATATTAGCAGAAAGTTTAAAAAATGGAAATTATCTGGCTATCTACCAACGATGGAATAGGTAATTAAATTTTAGTCCATCCATACAATGGTGTAGTAATTAAGAGGAATAATATAGATTTAAATATCCCATAGAACATTTATTAAAAGACATAAAAACAATCAATATAGCAACAACCAAACTCTGTATGTAGGTATACATCAGTAATTGTATGGAAAATAACTTGGAAAATACACACTAAATTAAGAAAAGTTAGCTCTCAGAAGGGAACTGGGATTGTGAAAAAAATTTTTTTTTTAAATCTCAAATACTTTTAAAAGTAGTATGATGCCTGGTTTCAGTCCTGGCTCTACCACTTATCAGTTGTATGACCTTGGACAAATTTCTTAACCTCTCTGTGTCTCAGTTTTCTCATCTGTAAGATGAGGAGAATAATTAATACCTACCGTGAAGGGTTATATTGATGATTGAATGATATGCTGGACATTTATAATGGTGTGCCAGGCATATGAAAAGTGTTTGCTGCTATTAGTACTACTACTAACATTACTATTGCTACAGCTTGTTGAAATATTTTAAGATTGCATTTCTTAAACTTTAATGTGCATCAAAATTACATGGAGGTATTGTAACATCAATTTCTGAACCTCCCCCTCAGTGTTTCTGATTTAATAGATTTGGGTTGAGCTTGATAATTTACATTTCTGACAAGTTCCCAGGTGATGTTGGTTGTACTGATGCTTAGACCACACTTAGAGAAGCACTATTCTAAAAGAAGTATATATTCACGTATTACTTGCATGATCTTCTTTTTTTTAAAGTTCACAAGTGTTTTGGGTTGAAAGAACCAATATTGTTTCTTGCCTTAACAACTGTCAACCTAACCCCACCAGCTTTTGTTTCAAAAATGTTTCAAAACTTGTGTTATTTGTCTTAGTAGAGACATTGCATTTCTTACTTACATAGTAGAAAAGTGACTTTATTTGCTTTTTTTCTTCCTACACATCATAAAAATATAAAATGATGGGAAAGAAATCCCTTCTATTTTCTTTTCTTTTTTTGGCTGAGACTATTTTTTTTTCATCTCTTTGAAGGTTATTCCTAATTGCTTTTTGAAGCTTTGATGGCTGCTTTAAAATAAAGTCTTTGTTAGATCTGTCCATGGACTCTGTTGATTGTGTTTTCTCTTACAAGTTAGGATTTTTCTGGTTCTTGATATGATGTGTGATTTCAATTGTATCTTACACATTTTGGGTATTATGTTATGAGACTGTATAGCTTATTTAAATCTTCTGTTTTAGCCGGCGAGGGAAGGGGACACTGATTTGGTACTGCCAGGTGAGGGTAAAGGTCCAGGCTCTCCACTCTGACTCCTTTTACTCCTCTGAGTGAGTTTAGGGGGAGCTCATTACTGGGCAGAAGTGGGATTCTCCTCTCTACCTTTCAGAGACTTTATGTTTGTTTTATATATTATGTTCAGAGTTTTTAGCAGGAAGCATAGGAAGAACTGATGTACTCTTTAAAAATTATTTTTTATGAGTTAATTTTAATTCACATTCTTGGCAGTTTTCATCAGGGGAAAATGTGTTCTAACTTTTAAAATAGTAAGCTTCCTTTGCTTGTGAATATTTTTTGTTGTTGTTTAAAGCCCAATTAAAGCATAATAGTGTTTAAAATAAAATGGAATATTATAAACCATTAAAATGAAGTTGCAGATTTGTATGTATTGACTGAAAAGAGATTCACAGTGTACTGTGTGAAAAACAGGTTTCAGAATAATATGTTTGATGTCACCTGTGTAAGAGTGTGTATAAAAATACATGTGCATAGAGCAAGATTTGGAATGATATAAAGGGATTTATCTTTGGGAAGATAGAATTTTGGGTATTTTCTGCTTTTTGGTTTTTGAACCTGTTAATTCTTTTGTGGGCAACATATACTGATTTAGTAATAAGAACAAAACACAAGTTTTTAATTGATTTACTGTAAATAAAAATATATTTCCACAGTATTTTTTCTTTTTGAGACATTTTAATTTTTTGTTTTGTTTTCAGAATTAATAATCTACTTAAACCTCTGTGATCATTATATTTAATATCTTACAGGTTCCTCTACCTGGCATGAAATGGGTAGATAATCACAAAGGTGTTTTTAATGTTGAAGTTGTTGCTGTTTCATCTATCCACACACAAGTAAGTGAGTTTTAATAATTTTTATGATCAAATTTAACTTGAAGTACTTATGTCAGTTTGTTATCTGTTCTAAGACTCGCAGTATGTGTTAGTTAAAAAATACATGAGTTACTTTTTAAAGGAATCAGTTTTTAAAAATAAATACACTAACATTGAACAATCAATTTCTTTTTCTAAGTTTCTTGTACGTGATACAATAATTAGAATTGAAAAACAATCATCCAATTCATTTTATTTCTCAGACTGAAGGTATTTCAAATGGAAAGAGCTCGTAGGGATCATTTGCTTCAAATTCTTCACTCTATTTCTGGTACATGCCAGGCTCTCCTCAGTGTCTCTGTACTTGCTATTTCTCTGGGTGGAATGTTTTTTGTTATTTTTTCTTTTCCTTCTATTCATTTGACTTCTCTTCATTAAGGCCTTCTCTGATAACTCTTAAACGTATCAACTCCGTCACTGTATCTTCTTATTCTGCACTTGGCTGCTTATCTCTTTCTTGTACTTTCACTCTCTCTCACTGTCTTTCTGTGTGTGTATACATATGTACACACACAGTTGTTTATTATTTCTTTCCTTCATTAGACTATAAGCTTTGTGAGATCAGGAGTGTTATCTGTCAAGGAGAGCCTTCCCTTCAAAAACCTTACAATTTAATATTGGAAAGTGTAGAAATAGTTATAATACAATAAAATTAGTATAGTAGTAGTTGTATTAACAAATTGCTTTCAAGTACAGAGGAGGGAGTTGCCTCTTCTGCTGGGACTGAGATGTGGCATTGATATGTAAGCATTTACCATACAGAGAGAGGGTGGGCAACTCAGATGATCATATAGCAAGTGCAAAGTGACTATAGTCTGTGTTTAAGGACTGGCAAGTAATCTGGTATGAATATAATTTAAAGTGCATGGGAAATCGAGATAGATGAGGATGGAAGACCAGGCTGGTAACAGATTATTAAGGACCTTGAATACTGTACAGTTTAGAGTCCTGGTAGATGGTGATTTCACTACCCTAAATAGGGAGCATGAGGGAAGTAAACTGGGGGCATGCTAAGGGAGAGTAATTATGGAACCATCATGAGTTTATTTTTTAACGTATTGAGTTTAAAATGTCTATGCACTTTAGATTGAGTTGCCCAGTAGGCAGTTGTAATTGGTATGGAGTTTGGGAGTGGAGGTAACAGAGTAAATGTGATACCTCGAAGTATACTGCTGAATGGAATTTTTCAGGAAGAAGGTGTATAGGGAGAAGAAGTGAGTGTTTAATATGGAATTGAAGCTTCACCAGCCTGAAAAGGAAAGGGGGTGGTGTGTCATGTGTTCCTAAGACCACCCCCAAGTTCAGTTGTTCACTAGGAGAATTCAGAGGACTCAGCATATATTTATACTCAAAGCTATGATTTATTTTAGTGAAAGAATGCAACTAAGGGAAAAGGTGCATGGGGTGAAGACTGGAAGAACAAGGCATAAGCTTCCAAGAATCTTCTCTTAGTGAAGTTTATACAGGATGAATTGAGACAACACATATGAAATGTTATCTACCAGAGAAGGCTATGACAGACTCAGTGCCCAGGGCTTGCACTGGGGGCTGGTCACATAGGTACCCTCTGCCTAGCAAGTACCAAAATTCCAGACTCTCAGGAGGAAAATTGGTGCTCAGCATAAACCGTATTGCTTGCACAAACTGTTTAGGCACAGTGAGCCCCTCTTATCAGTTAGGGTGGTGGGAACCCTCTAAAAATCCAAGTTTTTAGATGCCAGATACGGGCCAATCTTGTAAACAGGACTTTTGTAGAATAGCAGTCTTAAGCCTGCTATATTAATTCTTTTCTGTACAGGTAGGTTAAGGGAAAATAAAAAGACACAGCACCTTTATACTGTTCTTTTATTTTTTACTGTTGTAGTTTAAATGAACTTTACATTTCAAGTTAGTCTCCCATACAAAAATTTATACATACATTGTTATGTGACCCTAATTGCTTTCCCTTTACTGTGACAGCACATTCCTGCTTTCCACCCCTGATTCCCCATGTCCATTCAAACAGCTCCTAACCCTGTCTGCCTTCGCATCTCACCTCCGGACAGAAGCTGCCGTTTAGTCTCTTGTATCTACTTGTATTAAGAGGCACACTCCTCATGAGTATCACTTTATGTCCCACTGTCCAGTCCAATCCCTGTCTGAAGAGTTGGCCTCGGAAATTGTTTTAGTTCTGGGTTGAGTGAAAATCTGGGGCCATGCTTTCTGGGGTTCCTGCAGTCTCAGTCAGACCATTAAGTGTGGTCTTCTTGCTAGAATTTGAGTTCTGCACCCCATCTTTCTCCTGCTCCATCCGGGACTCTGCTGTGTTCCCTGTCAGGGTGGTCATTGGTGGTAGCCAGGCACCATCTAGTTCTTCTGGTCTCAGGCTGATGCAGTCTCTGGTTTTTGTGGCCCTTTCTGTCTCTTGGGCTAATACTTTCCTTGTGCCTTTGGTGTTCTTCATTCTCCTTTACTCCAGGTGGGTTGGGACCAATTGATGCATCTTAGATGGCCGCTTGCAAGCTTTTAAGACCCCAGAAGCCTCTCACCAAAGTAGGATGCAGAACATTTTCTTAATAAGCTTTGTTATGCCAATTCACCTAGATGTCCCCTGAAAGCATGGTTCCCAAATCTATACCCCAGCTATTCTGTCCTTCAAAATGTTTGATTGTATTCAGGAAACTTCTTAGCTTTGTTTAGTTCAGTTGTGCTGATTTCCCCTGTAGTGCGTGCTGTCCTTCCCTTCACCTGAGATAATACTTGTCTGGTAGCTAGTTAGTGAATAACCCTCACCGTCCTTCCCCACCTTCGTAACCATCAAAGAATGTTTTCTTCTGTGTTTAAACCTTTCTTGAGTTCTTATAATAGTGGTCTTATACAATATTTGTCCTTCTGTGACTGACTAAATTCACTCAGCATAATGCCCTCCAGATTCCTCCATGTTATAAGATGTTTCACAGCTTCATTGTTGTTCTTTATCATTGCGTAGTATTCCATTGTGTGGATATACCATAATTTGTTTATCCATTTGTCCATCGATGGGCACCTAGGTTGTTTCCATGTTTTTGCTATTGTGAACAGTGCTGCAGTGAACATGGGTGTGCATATATCTATTCGTGTGATGGCTCTTGTTTCTCTACCATATATTCCAAGTAGTGGAATACCTGGATTGTATGGTCGTTCTATTTGTAGCTTTTTAAGGAAGCGCCATACTGATTTCCAAAGTGGTTGTACCATTTTACATTCCCACCAACAGTGTATAAGTGTTCCAGTCTCTCCACAACCTCTCCAGCATTTATTATGTTGTGTTTGTTGGATTAATGCTAGCCTTGTTGAGATGAAATGATATCTCATTGTAGTTTTGATCTGCTTTTCTCTAATGGCTAATGATCATGTGATTTCTTCATGTGTCTGTTAGCCACCTGAATATCTTCTTTTGCCAAGTGCCTGTTCATATCCTTTGCCCATTTTTTAATGGGGTTATTTGTCTTTTTGTTGTTGAGGTTTTGCAATAGCTTGTAGAGTTTAGAGATTAGATGCTGATCAGATTTGTCATAGCCAAAATTTTTTTCCCAGTCTGTAGGTTGTCTTTTTACTCTTTTGTTGAAGTCTTTTGATGAGCAAAAGTCTTTGATTTTTAGGAGCTCCCACTTATCTAGTCTCTCTTCTGGTGCTTGTGCATTGTTACTTATGGTTCGTGTTGTGTTTATGCCATATATTAGGGCTCTTAGCATTGTCCCTATTTTTTCTTCCATGATCTTTATCATTTTTGATTTTATGTTTAAGTCTTTGATCCATTTTGAGTTAGTTTTTGTGCATGGGTGAGGTATGAATCTTGTTGCAGTTTTTTGCGGATGGATATCCAGTCTTGCCAGCACCATTTGTGAAACAGACTGTCTTTTCCCCAATTAACGGACTTTGGGCCTTTGTCAAATATCAACTGCTCATAGGTGGATGAATTTATGTTTGGATTCTCAATTCTGTTCCATTGGTCTATGTTTCTGTTGTTGTACCAGTACCAGGATGTTCTGACTACTGTGGTGGTATAATGGGTTCTAAAATCAGGTAGTGTGAGGCCTCCCACTTCATTCTTCTTCTTGAGTAATGCTTTACTTATTTGGGGCCTCTTCCCTTTCCATACGAAGTTGGCGATTTGTTTCTCCATCTCATTAAAAAATGCCGTTGGAATTTGGATCAGGATTGCATTGTGTCTGTAGATTGCATTGGGTAGAATTGACATTTTCACAATGTTCAGTCTTCGTAGTGTCTTGTAGTTTTCACTGTATAGGTCTTTAACATCTCTGGTTAGATTTATTCCTAAGTATTTTATCTTCTTGGGGGCTATTATAAATGGTATTGATTTGGTGATGTCCTCTTCGAGGTTCTCTTTGTTGGTGTAAAGGAATCCAACTGATTTTTGTATGTTTATCTTGTATCCTGAAACTTTGCTGAAATCTTCTATTAGTT